TAAGTCTTGTGAAAACATCTAAAGAGGTCTTTAAAGGAAAAGATCAGGGTAAGGAGAGAAAATGAGCCATTCCTCAGCTATTCTCTTATGATGATCACTTGCAGCACCTATGCCTGCCCAAGGGCCTGGCTGGGTCTCAGAATCTGGGCTCTGACAGCACAGAGCCACCCCTGCCTATATAGCACTACCCTTGCCAAAAAGCAAGAGGCCAGGCTTGGGGCTTCCTAGATCCACGGTCAGCTGCCTAAGTGCTCAGTCATGCTCATGAATGGGCCCCCTCTTCCTCTCTTTTCAGCCCTGCGCTCTAATTTGTCCTCCCCTTTGATAACCAACTCCAAACACATTCAGCTGAGGCCGGGCCATCAGTGCACAAAGGCCTGTGCTCTCTCGGCTGAATGCAGCACTTCACTCTTGGGGGGATTTCTATAGAAGGCAAAATCCACCAAACAAGCTATTACACTTAAATCAGACAATGCCCGAGGTGGCAGCGAGGAGACCAGCGTTAATGACTCAGCTAGCAGCGGGCTTCTCTATTTTGAAGCTCTACCCCAGCATGGGAGAGCAACCCGCTGCCCTTCCCAGCCTCTGCCAGATCCCTCTCCTCCTGCTCTGGGACTAGAAAGGTGACCCTGTGTCTGCTGGCTCTGAATCCTGAGTGCTGATTCCCCCTAGGCCCACTCTACAGACTCCTGATTCCCTCTCTGCTCAGGAATAAGAACAGAGCAGTGAACACCCTTCTCTCACCTTCATTCTAAAGACGAAGAAACCATGGTAACTGTTGAAAGTCACAGAGTCAGCTGGTGACAGAGCCAGGACTAGAACCCTGGTCTCTCATCTCATTCATTTAATGCAAGAACTATTATTAATTAGATGATGTACATAAAGTATATAGCATAGTTTCTGGCATACAAATACACTCAATGAATGTCAGCTGTTGTTATTTGTTATCTGGCAGTGTCATCATTTTTGTGTAGTTCATTCTTTTGTCCATGGAATGCTTATTATGAGACAGGCAGTCTGCAGGTTGCCTGCCATAAGACAGTGAACATGAACATACCACAGCCCTGCCCTCTGGAGCTTACTTTCTAGTGATTTCAACAGCAATGGCAGTAGTGGGGGGGGGGGTAGCAGAGGGTAAGTACAGGGTTTTTTTAGAAGCTAGAGGTAGCGCTAATCCAGACCTGGGGCTCAGTGACAAGAAACTAGGATCTCAACTGAGACTGAAGGAACAAGAAACTAGGATCTCAACTGAGACTGAAGGATAAGTCAAAGTTAACCAGGTGAAGAGCAGTAGGAATGAGGGGATAGGCTGTCTACATAATTTTCTAGACAAAGGGAATAATCAAATGTGCAAAGGGGAAAAAGGAAAGCAAAGACAAATGGAGACAAGATGCATCTAAGGAAAGGGAAAAAGGATGTCAGTGTGCTAGAACATGTAGTAAGATGGGGTGAAGATGGGGTGCTGCCTGGAAGGAGGCCAATGGCCATGAGACCTGGAGCAAGACAAACAGGCACAAGTCATCAAATGAATAATGTAGGAAGCCATGGAAAGGAGCCAGGACTTTAAGCTGAGAAACAAAGGATGATCCATGGACATGCTAAAGATTAGAAGACCTGTTATGAGAATGGGTAGGCAGCAGCAAGAACAGCTAGCAGGTTAGCCACCAGTTCAGCACTTGACCTATGTTCCATTTCAACACATTATTTGGCTGTCATCTTGAGTCACCAAATAAGTCCCTCCATTAACAGAACTGATGGAGGGGGAAATAAGCTGAAAGAAGAGAGCAGAAGAACAGAACAATGGCTTTCCCCCAGCCACTTGGGTCATTACCCAAAATGCCTGAAGCACCACATAGTGAGATGAAGATCTTATCCACCAACCAGATATGTGACCTTGGGCAACCTCCATTTCCCCATCTGTACAAGGACATTTACTAAGTAATTGGTAAGCTGCCTTGCAGTCCTTACATTCTGTTTTCATTACTTGAAATATATAGCCTATATTTTTTTATTCTAAGATGCCTTGTTTTGCACTTTAATGTTTGTAAAACTAGGTTTCACAGTGGTTCTCAACTTATAATAGAGCAAATGCAGCTCATCAAGATCAAATATCCTATGCAATGATCAAAGATACTTCCTCTTTTGGGTTGTCATTCAGTCCACGAAAGGCCTGCCTCTGACAGCAGCCAGGAAAAGCTGGGTAGGAGCTGCACTGCAGAGCAGCTTCAGCCTCTCCTGGCTACCTGTGTGGACCCTACTCTTCAGGAAATCCTCTTTCACAGGCCCTTTGCCTCAGGCCTGCAAGAAGGACATTCTGCAAACAGTCACAATAATCTTGCCTTATCCAATAGCTACAGCAGTTACTAAAGTAGAGACCAAAGTTACAAGGGTATTTGGGAAAGTGAACAACAACAAAAAAAGGAAAAGAACAAATTCAGACTGTGGTGGGAGAAGGAAAAAACCAGTTCCGAGCTGTTTTTGGCTGAAAAACGCTCTCCATCCATGGCTTTAAAACGCAAGCAGCATAGCATCCAGAGGCTCACAGCTGCATGGAACAATTCAAAAATTGCCTTGTTGGACTACAACGTGCCAATTTTTCAAATCTAGAGCCATTTTTACTATTACAGTGTGTGCAGCCTAAGCCCAGAGAATTTTCTTCTGGGAGGGAAAATTGATACTGAGGTTACCATTAACCCCCATCATCTCAGCATGCCCCACTCCAAAACTATTCTTGGGAACCAAGGGTGCTAGAAGAAGCTATAGAGGCCCATGGTGAGATTGGTGCCCAACATCACAGGTGCTAACGGCCAAAGTCCATTAGCCCCGTGTCTTGGAAGGGTATGAAAGTAAGTAGGACAGAGAGGGAAAGGGAGAGGCAGCGCAGAAAGATCTGGGAATCAGCTTTCCTGGGAATTCCTAAGCTCTGAATGTTTACCTGCATACCACACTTCATTTGGGTGGACTGGGAACTTGCATGGATAACAGGAACTCAGACTAACACCTGTGTAGACCTGAGTCCTCACCCATGCTGCCTTCTGCAGCACAGCCTGGAGCCGGGTGGAGGGTTCTCCAGCAGCTGGCTTGGAAGCTGCCCCTGTCATCCCATTCTTGTACCCAGCTGCACAAGACCCAGATCTTTCAGATGCAGAAGAATAAGGCAGCTGGTTTTGTCTACCCCAGGTGCTCCATATGGAAAACCACTCCAATTCACTGAACACAATTAAGAGCCCGCAGCCTTTACCATGCAGTGTGCTATGACCTCCATCTTCCCAGCCCACCAGCCCAGCTGAGAATTCAGGAAAAGAAAGACAACTCTGGACAAAGAGGGGACCAGGTGACTGAGGAGAGTTGCCCATTTGCTGATCTCACGAGCATCATTTTTCTGTATCCTGATGATACAGCGGTAAGCACTCTGAATCCAGAAAGCCCAAGGCTAACTTCTGGCTCTGCCACTTGAACCCTGGACTAGTAACTTACTAGTCTGTGAGCCTCTTTTTCTTTTCTGATAGCCTGGAAGCAAAAATAAATACCAACAATGTTGTTGTCAATATTAAATTAGATAATATAGGAAAGTAACATACAGTGCTCAATAAATTGCATGTGCATGCGCACACACACACTTACATATGCCACTGTCCCTGTCACCAAAATGTTCTGCCCAGATGTGCCTTCATATTTAGATATTTAAAGAAGTAATGAGTTTGACTCTATAGTATATATTAAAGTTTATGTACAAACACACAGCAACCTGGCATCCATTCTAAAATGTCTCTCTATTGTTCATGGAATGACACAGCCTCCTTCTCCTTGGTAGAGGAGTTTGCTTCAGAGTCTGGGTACTGTGCCTACATTGTTGGCCAGCTCTGAACTTCAAAGTTCCCCTTCTCTTCCTATCCCATTCCTGTCCCTCCTCCAGCGCCACCATCCTCTCTAGGGACAGCTCACAAGCTGTCCTCCTCTCCTTTCTGGAGTGTCTTCTAAGGAGTGCAGCGGAGGAAGATCTCAAAGGAGCTAGAACTGGAGTAGGGAAGGGCCGTGGGCATTCAAAGCACTATGGCAGGCTGGGCGCTGTGCTAGGCACAGAGGCACTGGATGAGCAAGACTCTTCCCAGCGGGCCCCCTAGAGGTTGCCTTGAGAGCGGAGGCAAATGACGTACACAAAGCTCATTAGGGTAGTAAACTGGTGAGAGGACAGGCGCACCAGTGAGGCGGCACAGATGGGAGTCACGCGGAAGGAGGCCCGCGGAGAGGTACCCCCAGGAGCCTCGAGGTGGTTGCTCCAGTGCCAGCACACCCTGGGAAGTTGACCTCTCTTAGTCACCGGGCGACTGGTGCAGGAGGGGAGGGTAGTGCAGGGCTAAATGCTGACGGGAAGTCCCTGTCAACACAATGTTCCGCCTGGCCGGGCCTTCATATATAAAGATATTTAATGAATTAGTTAATTAATGAGAGGAGTTTGATTGATAGATCATATGGAGCTCACAGCAGGGTGAGTCTGACCCCGATAAGGCCGCCTCGGCTGCAATCCGTCCCCCTCATTGGTCGAGAGAGTGCGGTCGCTGCGGCAATTTGCATGCATTTAATGTAGCTCTTTAATAGGATGTAATGTTAGCGAAAGCCAAAAGCGCAGCAGCTGTAACTTAAAAGACAGCCCCATTACTGCAAGCCTTATAATTAGGGTAAGAGGGAGACTCGGTCTGCCATATGTTAAACTCTTTTGAGGTTAATAGCTCTGTAAGATTTTTGCAATTTAAAAAAATTGCACTTGAAGGATGATGGCAAGGCTCATCAATGAGGCGCCTCTGCACCCAAGGGAAGGGAAGGAGGATCCCATATCCCCAGAGCCCCCCCCCTGCCCCGGGAAAGGGCAAGGTGGCCTCTCTCCTGCCACAAGCCGCGCAGTCTCCCCTCCTCCTCCCTACTCTGCACCAGCTCTTCCCACCCCAGCTCCATTAGCGCAGAGCTGCCCTTGCACTTCGCGGAATCGCACCTCGCCCCACCTGCAGCGCGCAGCTTCCTCAGGTCCAAGGATCCGGTCCCGGGAGGGTGGCCCCAGGCGCGCGCGCACTCAGGGCCGGGAGAAGCACTGCGCGTGCTTACCTTGCAAAGTCTGGCAACTCCAGAGCAATTACGGGTCCCCGCAGGTTATCTGGAGCTGATTGCACAGCGGGCCCGAATCAGGGAACACACAGCAGGCGCTCCCCCACCCCAGGGCGGGGGGGGGGGTGTGTGCCTGGAATTTGCTTGGTAATTACCTGGCACGGGGCCTTGCGGGTGTTTGTCCCCTCTGTGACCGAGCCCATGTGGCAAGGGGGACGCGAGTTCTGTGTGCGGTGGAGTTCTGGGCTCGAGGAAACTGATGCCAACACGTGGGCCCCGGAGGGCTGCCCCTGCACTCCAACTGCCCTGGGACAAGTAACTGGAAGGCCTGGATCACATTCAGCTAGAGGAGCCCAGCTGCACCCGCCCAGCCTCTGGTGCCTTTCTCAAGACTCCCTCCCCAGCGGCCCAGGCTGGGGGTTTGGGGGTGGAAGAGGGGGTGCTGGGAGAGTCGCTGCAGAAACGGGAGCCGGCTCTGGAGATTGGAGCAGCCTCCCCCTGCACGGTCCCCTCCCACGGTCTGCGCTCGGCCGGGAGAGGTGCAGAGCTGCACTCGCGGCAGATTCTCTCCCCAAGGAGCTCTCCTTCTCACACACACACACACACAGCACCCACACCCCCACACCCCCGCCCCCGCTCCCCCGCGCTTCCCGGACAAGCGCGTAGGTGTCCGACCAAATTTCTGATGACAGACACTCCAGACAAAACAACAACAGGGGAAAAAAAAATCCCTCTTACTTTTTTTTAAGGGGGGCTCTTGTTAGAAGAAAATTACAGGGCCGATAAAATGACTGCTAATTGCACAATTATCTGATTATCTCTGGTACCAAAAATACATAAGATCCTTTGCCCCTCCCAGCCACTAAAAGAATTCTCAGGGACACCTCTTGGTGAAGAGACATCTATCTTCCCAAACCCAGAGGGACCGAGGCATAGAAGGAAAGGAGATGTGTGCACCAAGAAAATATAGGCAGTTTGACGCACTAGCAGGAAAAGGTTTGGGCAGAATGAGGACCAAAGGAGGGGAGAGAGTGGTAGCAGCTGAGTATTCTTGTGAACTACGTTCATTAGAACTAAATGGCTTTAAGAGATCACTTAATCCAGCATTATCCTGTTTCATGGGTGTGACCCATAGAGGTTAGGCTGCTTACCGGTACAATGATTTGGGAGTCGGAAGGATGGATGGGATGGGGGTGCACTGATGGAGGGAAGATGGGGGCTGGTCACATTTGGGCTCTGTTCTAATCCCTCACTGCCTTTCTGGGACTCAGATTATGGTTTGTTTTCATGGCCAAGATGAAAAACAAAAAATAAACAAATATCTCTGTATTTGACATCTTGATTTAAAATGCCACTTACTACTAGCTGCTAAAAGTAGACCAAGCTATAAGTGGTGGGAGGCTGAGCTAGGAAGATCACAAGTTCAAGCCCAGACAATTTAGTGACTTAGCAAGACCCTGTCTCAAAATAAAGTAAAATAATAAAAGAGGCTGCAGATGTAGCTCAGTGTGAAGAACTTTGGTTCGATCTACTCCCCACCAAAAGTGGACCCAACTCCAATAGCTAATTTTTGTTCGTGCTTTATGATCTATGAAGCACTCCCACCTGCTTTTTCTCATACTTCTCGTACTTACCCTGTTCTTTCATTATCCCCATTTTAAATGGGTTTAACTAACACTTCAAAAATGTAAAGAATTCCCAAGGCCTCAGGACTTGTCATGGGAACACCTGTAATTCAAAGCACTGTATCTCAGAGCCTTTCTTGAGGACAGAAGCCAGGACTTGAGGGATTGCTCTGCAAGGACTGACAACATGGAAATAAGGTGCTGAAGCTAGGTTTCATGATTTTCTTTACACTCATTATTTTTGTAGGTCAATGGCTCAGGCTCTTTTTCCGCTTGGATGTGGCCCAATCATCTGGAGCTATTTTCCCACGGGAAGTCACTTCACTTAGTGCACCAGCCTGAAATGTCACTTTCAAGTCACCAAGGACACCTCAGCTCCTTGATGGAAGAGGTGCTGGCAGGCTGGATGCAGAGTCCACACTACTTCCTGTTCTCCCTGCCTTAGTCTTATCAACCAATCGGGATTAGGAGTGAGACTTCAACCTTGCTCTCCCTCTTCCCAGCTGCCACAGTTAGGGCAGGAAGGAGTTCAGAGGCTCCATCTCCATGATCCTTGGGAGTGCCCTGCTGAGCTGAGGACCACTATAGCTTTCCAGAGACTTCTTGGCAGTCCAAGCCATTGCTCCATAATCACCATGTCCCCACCAGGTGCTCTCCTGCAGAGTAGCGATGGTTGCTTCAGAATTATCGTCCACGGATCAATATCAAGCCGATTACCGGGCCTTGCACACACCCAGCAGGGCTCACTCTGGAGGCATGTGGAGATGCATGCAGGAACACGGGTTCCCTTCATTAAGGCAGCTGGGCTCCGGGTGAGAGCAGCTTAGGGCTGGAGACTCCCAGGACTGGCAGACAGGTACTGTGGAGTCAGGGCTCTGAACAGAGGATATGTGAGGAGGACCTGGATGAATTGCCTCAGAGTGTCTTTCAGAGGAAGGGAGGCTGACCCAGGCCTCATCCCTCATCTAGCCAGCTCCCAGCATCTTTTCCTCTACAAGTTAGTGAAAAGTAAACAAACCGAGGTTTCCCATCAACTGCCCCTTGATAGGCGCTCCCTTGGGCCAAAGAGGTCAATGCTCAGTCAAGCAGGATGTGTGAGGCCAGAGCAGGCAACAAGCCATAGGTTAGGGCCTGGGCCTGGGCTGTAGGGAAACTTCCCTGAGACTCCAGCCCTCCAGTATCATCAGCTCTGCCCTGTGATCCAAATGCTGAAGTGGTTCCAGCGCCTGCCTCACAGGCACAAGGTCCCGAGTTCGATGCCCAATACCAAAAAAAAAAAAAAGAAAATACTTATTGGACACTTATTACCAAATTGACATGCAAAAATAATATTTACATTTTAAATTATTATTAAAATAACCCTTCTCACTATATTTAATATAATATTATTGACCAGTTTATTCTAGGCATCTTGCTAAGCACTTGACATTTGTTATCTCATTTGAGCAACTAAGCACAATCCTTCTATTATCCTCATTTTACAGATGATAAAGCTAAGGCTCAAAGAGGGTAAGTGATCTGCCCTAGTTACACAGTGAAAAATGGAGGAGGTGCTAAGGTCTGTTTGACTCCAAACCCTTGTCCTACTCCACTACGTCTCCTTTCATGCTACCCTCACCCTTTTCTTTTTCATTCCTGTCTCTGAGACCAAACTAAATGGCCCAACCAAGGAGACAGGAGCGTCAGCCAAGGTCACCCAGAGCTGGAGCCCTTTGGAGGCTGCACAATTCTGCTCCTCCCTGAAAGCTACCCGTCCTTAGCCCATCTGCTCGCCTACTCGCAGCCCCACTCTGAGCCCCACATACAGATGCTGGTGTAGTCACAGCACCAGGATCGGTCCCTGGGAAAGAGGGCTCATAAAACCTTACGGCAGTTTTATAAGGTATTCTTAGCTTTTACAGGTGTGCTGGGCGGCTGAAGCCCACGAGCAGCAAAGTGCCTTGGGCGATGGGCGGCCCTGTGGACCTAGAATGGTGGGAACAGCTGCAGGGAAGACAGCACTACTACTTAGCTGCCTGCTTGGAGTAGAGGCAAAAGGAAGGAGCATGTCTTCAGCTCCTGCCAGTTTAAAAACCCTTCCATACTGGCCGCCCAGCAGGTGACTTAGGTAGACTTTCAGGGCCACACAGGAGGAACTTAGCATAGAGAGATTGCCTAGACCAGTGAGGGCGAACCTTTTAGAGCTTTCAATGATGCAAACAGCCTGCTGAAGTACACATGCCATAGGTTCGTCACCACTGTGACGTGAGGGCCCATCTGGGCCTTGGGTGCAAGCTTGCGTTCCTGAATTCAGATCTGGAGCTCTGCTGCTGGGATTGGCTGGCATGGTACCTACTCTCAGTGACCTCAGCTATATCCACTACAGAGACAGCTCCCAGGCAAAGTCCTCCTCAGGACGAAGCAGAGTCACATGAAGGTATGACTGTCTTCCCTCCTTGGGTCTCAGTCCAGGCTCCTTCTATCACCAGCATGTCACAAAGAAGCCTGGGGATTTCTTGCCGGTCTGTGTGCTGGAATCCTAGCTCAACTTCCTCACTTCCCTCGTAGTCCTTCCTCCTCCTCTCTGCAAGCTGTCCCATCAGTCACTTTCTGTGCATAACCCAGGTCAGCACCAGAAAACAGGCTCAGAGCTCAAAACTCCAGCTGCTCGGCCCACTATACTCACAACCCCACTTTATTTATTTGAATCACTTTTGAATTCTTAATCTCATACCAGCAAAGTGGATCTTATTGCCCCTATGTTACAGTTGAAGAAACAAGCTCAGAGCAATTGAGCAATTTTGCACATATCACACAGTAATGACTCGGAGAAGTAGAATCGGAGCCAAGAGTCTTGACTCAACTCCATCTCTCTCTCCCTTCCCTTAGGTGAGTTTCAGAGAGTCCTCAGCTGCACTTTACTCTTCACTTCGGCAGTGCGTCTATGACTTTCCTGCTTTTGTCCTCCCTACTTGGAAGCCAAGCTGATTTCCTTTGCTACTTTGGCCCAAAGTGGACGGAGCTTGTGGATTTGGAAGTGTGTGGCTGGGTGGTCATCCACCTCCTAGATCTCACTGCACCGAGACCAGGACCCAGATAATTCCCCCTGTGCTGGTGGACCTTCCATCTTTGTGTCACCAATTTCAGGAGACATGGTGACCTTCTGACTTTGTCCAGGACCTTATGCACTAAACTAACATGTCTTTTCTTGCAGGACCACATCCATCTTGCTCTTTCTCACAGGCTTTCTATGAGGCTTTTCCAGGCTGCTCCTTCTTGGCATCCTGAGATCCCATTGTATAATGATCCTGGTCCTGTGCTATTCTAGTCCCTCCCACCCCTGGAGCCCCATCTCCCACTGTGCTTTGCTTCCTG